TGGGCCTCAGGAGGCTGACCATTGCCTCTTGCAGCCTCAGGGGGCTCCCTTGCCTCCCACTTCTGGTAGGATGTGGCCACTGGGAAATCGTGGCAGAGCTTGGCGGGAGAAAGAAGAATGAGGTCAGGCTATTTGTTCCCTGCCCCTCCCTGACAAATCAGCTCAGGCCGACTTCCCCACAGAAGGTTAGCTGAGGTGGGCCTCTCCACCTCCCGACACTGTCAGTCAGTTCCTCTATCTGGGCTCCAGGACCCACTCCCTCCCTTTACCCACTCTCAGCCCCAGGATGGCAACAGGCTCCCTGGGCGGCCAGGGTCAGGGGGCTTCACCCTCGACCCTGCCCACAGCTTTCTAGACAGACATTCATTAAACGTTCCTCAATCAGCCCACCCGACTGTGTCATCGGTTGCCTGCAGGACCCTGACCAACACAGAGGCCGGGTGACCAGCAGATGGTCTCACCCACTCACCTTTCTGCCATCTCCCACCCATGGGATTCTGGACACATGAGAAGCTCTCTGTGCCTCATCTATAAAATGGGGATGTTCTGGGGCTGGCCCCGTGGCAGAGAGGTTAAGTTCGCATGCTCTGCTTCGGTGGCCCAGGGTTTCCCCGGTTTGGATCCTGGGGCGGACGTGGCGCCGCTCGTCAGGCCATGCTGAGGCAGCGTCCCACATAGCACAACCAGAGGCACTCACGACTAGAATATATAACTATGTACAGGGGGGCTTTGGGGTGAAGAAGAAAAAAAACAAGATTGGCAACAAACATTAGTGCAGGTGCCAATCTTAAAAAATAAAATAAATAAAATAGAGAATGTTCTTATGATTTTTCTCCCAGAATGTCTGTGAAGATCAAATGAAATAATTGAAGAAAATATGCCAGTCATCTAACAGGCCCAGGATAACAGGTGGTTATTATCATTATTATTGTCCTTGTGCCATTGCTGGCCTGTGAAAGCTGCCCACTCTGCACAGGGGCCAAAGGACCCACGTGGCGGGGATGCCTCAGAGCCTCCTGTGAATCTGGAAGGGATGCCAAAGAAACCCGAGCTGGGGGAGGAAGGTGGAGCACAGCCCCTGAGTGCGGCTTGGGTGGAAAGGGCTGCTCCCGCTCTTGACGTTGGACCCCGGCAGGCAGGGGGCCACCCAAAGTCCTCAGTCCATGATCACAGTGCCCTTCGCCAGAGATAAAGGGGAAACTGGAACCAAGACGCGTTTCTGGGAAGAGCTGCGATCTCAAATACTGGCCCAGGGCTCGTCATCTTCCTAAGACACCCTCCTTCTCAGCCAGGCAGAGCCGTCTTGGCCTCGGAGCACAGGACTCCCCGCGGGGGTCCCGGACTCTCTCCTACCAACGTGCAGAAGCTCCAGGAAGTCACCTCGATGGAGCTCCGTGTGTCAGTGTCCGTGGAAGGCGCCAACTTGCCCCCATGAAGCCATCTTCCTTTTTAAATTTGCAATATCCTTTTAGTTCAAGACTTCAGGATTGTTTGTGATGGGGCGTGTGGAAGGGAGAGGACGTCCCTTTTACAGACGGGGTAAAAGTGAGACGGTGCAGCTCAGTGAGCATCAGAAACGTGTGTGGGCACGTGACCATCTGCACACACACAGGAGCTTCTGGGTTTATAAAGGTGCGTTTTCTTCCTGTGACCGCCAGGAATGGCCTGTCTCTGAGATCTTTGGGAGCTACCTTTTAAACACCTGAGCAGAGCCTTCGGCGGAGCTGCCTCTGGCTTCTTGTAGACACAATGCTGGGGTGCCTGTGCGTCTCTGCTCTCCAGTCAATCCTGGCAGACGAAAATTCAAGTTTGGAGAGAGAGGAATGACTCAGGAGGGAAAAAAGTCACCTTGAGATTCCTTGAAATAGCAACTTTTTTTTGTAACTCCCCCACAGTGCAATGATACTATTATTCACTGTATTTAACAAAAAAATTAATTTCAGGGACACAGCCATTGTGGGAAGTAGGTTATGCCAGAATTTGATACAAACAGGAAGTGGGTAGGTCAGACTTTATTTGACACTGTGTGGTGGAAACAGATTCTGTGGCAAAAGCAGTTTAATTCTGCTTTGGTCTGTGGATCTTGTCCTGATGGGGCCGGACAGTAATTCTGCTGCTGAGGACGAGCTATGCCGAGGTCTGGCTCTGGATCCCCACCGTCTAACCACTTCACTTCCTTCCAGAATTGGGATGCTATACACACAAAACCATGACGGCTGCTCTGTCTGGTCACACCACATTCTGGATGCCAACAGTGGGCAACCCGACCTGCCAGCATCTGCTTCCTCATCTCAGAAATAGTGGAAATAACCTCTAAGTAGAATAGTTGTTATGAGAAGTAGAGAGAACGTATGAGAGGGCTCGGCTCTCAAAAAATGATGGCTAATAATAATAATAATAACTGTTATCATGAAAAGAAGAGGAGGAAAGCTAATTCTAATCACAGGGAAGTCACCCGCAGGGCCATCAGGGAGCATGAGAGAGATTTTACAGCAGCTTTAAGAAATCTTATTTCACATTCTCTTAAAGAAGCTTGCTAATGTTCCTGATGGGATGCTTTCTTTGTTTCTAAGCCTCAGTATTTTATTCTGTTTTAATTACAGAGAATTTTAGGTCTGATGTCACAAAGAGCGTCATCTGTTTCTGTCCTTCTCAGCCTCGTCCTGTCCTGGTTGCTGCTGCCACGTGTCCTGGGGCCACGCAAGTCCTCGTGTTCTGGAGAGTAAGCCGACAGGGCAGTTCAGAAAACTTCTCTTGTTTGTGGACAAAAAAACATAAAACAACCAAGGGAGCAATTACTTTCTGGGATAATTTTTTCAATGCCATACTGGACACATTTGAAATGCTTTTCAGGTCCTTTGGGAGTCAAATTAGGAGAAAATCTCTTTTATTTTGTTTATCTCTTGGAACTTGACTTTGGTAAATGTCTGTGATGTCTGCACATGTGTCACTAGAACCCTCGCCCCCCCGCCCCCCATCCCAAATGCTGTCAAGATGTCATCAGCTTGAAATGGGCAACAAAAACACAGGCTGGAGAGGATTCCTGATTTCCTTGTGTCTCTCAGGTCCTCCTCCTCTGACTGTGCCACTAACTGCGGCTCCGAAAGGCTGAGCTTTGGGTTTATCAGCCAGTCGCTTCCATTCAGTTCCAAACCAGAAGAGCTCCCCCTTGGGGCACCCTTGTCGCTAAACCTCGGGGAGGCACCACTGACCGGTTCCAGCAAACAGACATCAGCCTGTCAGCTCTCCTGTCGAGTCCTCCTCCGTCCAGCACAACAACGCATGGCTCATTTCAGCAACATGGTGATTAGCCAATTACTTACAGACTCACCAGAGCCCTCTCTGTGGAGCTTAACGGAGTGGCCCTTAGGCTCCCCGATCACCAGAGGGAGGGACTGAAGGGAACTCTTGGGCCTGGTGTGAGGGAGGGCTGCTGCCAGGATCCTTCTCAGGGCAGACTTTCCAGACCCTGCTTCTGTATGACCAAGTCCTGGCACAGCCAGGCTGAGCAAGCTGAAAGCAAGGGCTGCCTGGCTCCACTTTGGCCCCGGGGTCCGTTACAGGCATTCAGGAAGCGTGCGCAACTCCATGCTCTTGCAGAAAGGTGGCTCGCCCTCTCACGGGCCTGACCTTAGGGAAAGCTCTGCTACCAACTAGCTGTGTCATCTTGGGCAAGTCATATAACGTTTCATCTGCAAACGAGGGGCAGGACTGGGTCCTCCTCAAAGCCTCAAAGCCCCTTGCAGCTGTAACCTGCTGCAAACCGCTGATTCGACCTGGAGAGAAAGTGTCTCATGGGTCCTGCGTGAACTGAACTGCCTCTGGGAAGGCACCTTACTGAGTCAGGAAAAGGAGATGACTAAGGATGACTTCGTGATATTTAGATTCCTCCTGCCCCAAATAATTACTTAAAGCACACACAGTATTTCTTTTAAAATGAAGAAGGCCAGCTTGTCAATATCCTCTGCCTCAAATATCCACATTTTTTGAAAGTGGTTCAGTTGATGGAATTCAGAAGGAAACTGCGGTCTCCATGGGGCTCTCCACGCACGTGACCCATCCGAGATGAGCAAGTGAATGTTTTCCTTTTTTAAATCTGGTTTTCAAACACAGAGAGGATCAAGGAACAGCTCTGTCATTATACACCCATCTGAGACCCACCTGCAATGGATGTAATTAGAACTGTGCTCAATGAAGCCAGTTGCCTCAAGGAAACAGGGCAAAACTGGCCCAGCAGATGTTCGGCTTGACCAACAATAATAATGATACACTGTGTTTATTTGGAACAGACTAAATTGTTCCTGCTGACTTGAAAGTCCCAGTGCAAACCCTGGATTCAGATCCTGTGGATTTATCACACCCACTGGAGGATGCTGGCTTTCCAGCCCTCTGAGTGGATTATCCACTTCCATTAGAGCGGGCTCATCCTTTCCAAAAGATAACATCTTGTTTCTCTGGCCTGAATTTCCCTTCACTTCTTTCAAAACACGATTTGTGAAAACACTGTGTGGGAACACATGACAATGGGAAGTGCTCAGCGGGAATACTGCAATAAATATGTCAGGTATATAAACTCGCTGATGCTGTTTATTTGGTCCTTAAGAAGAAAGTTTTGGGATAAATAAATTACGACCATTTTTCAGCATCTCGGATTTCTCCAGTAATGCGTATATGTTGGCAGACCTTAGCGGATCGTGCTAATTTATTTGTAAATCATCAAAGGGAAGAATAAAATATGTGTCTCCAGGCGAGTGAATGGACTGGAAAACCAAATTGGGCAACAGCGGTATTTTCCTTCGCCAAAAGTAAACACGTCGACGTGGGGAGAAGGGCTTTGTCCTACTCCTGGCTGAACTCTGAGGGTGAGATGGCTGAGACCGAGGGACCTGCTTTGTAGTCCTTTCTCACAAAGCGTTCCATGATTCCAGAGGAGGACAATCTGCAGCATGACACCGCGAACTGGGTCAGAATAATATTTCTTAGTGGCGATTCCTGCAGTGTTTTATTAATTACAGCATTGGTTCAGAATTTTCTGTGCCTGGATAGGTTGTATTTTTAAGTAGGCACCCATTTTTTAAATTTGATGCGATATAAAACTGAGTTCCAAGGAATCTCTAATATGTAAGTGGTGAAAAATGATGTGTCTCTCCCTGTACACACCACAAGCGGCGTTCACGAAACGGTCTTGGGGAACATAGACAACATTTATGCTGTCTTTGATTTGTGTGCTTTTCAAAAAATGCTAGCAATATTGAGGGATCTTGGAGCATAGCGTCAGAACAGAACCCTTTGCTCTGAGTGTGTGTGTACACTCTGCCTTTCTCTTACTGCTCCACACGGATTCCCCCTCTTTTCTGGCCAAACCAGTTAACCCACAGCTCCTGCGTGGACGGCAGCCCTGCACCATGCCTGGCCTCTCCTCACCTGCTGTTTCCTCACCACCATTTCTCGAGCCTGGGGAGTGGAGTCTCCACCCGCCCTGGGGTGGGGTGGGGGAAGTGAGCTCAAGGCTCCCTCCGCCACGAACCTTTTTCCTTTGTACTCCAGCTAGAAATGATGATCTCTCCTGCTGACAGTACCTAGGGCAGGGTCTTTCAACCTCAGCACGACTGACATTTTGGGCTGGATAACTCTTTTTAGTGGGGGACTCTACTGTGCATTGAAGAATGTTAGCAGTGTCCCACTAGATGCCAGTGGCGTCCGCCTTCCTACCCCACTGAGCTGTGGCAATCACAACAGTCTCCAGACGGTGCCAGATGTCCAGGGGGTGAGGGTGGGGGCTGTGTGCAAATCACCTCAGTTTAGAACCACTGCCCTTGGGCTCTCCCCACATCAGATCACAGATTCTGGAGAACAGGGTTAGGTCCTTAGCAGTGTTTTGGTTCATGTTCAAAGTTATTCGATGATTAATGAATAAAAGATGTTTGTAAAAATTATCAGTTGGGAGTTTCTGAAAATTAACACATTAGGTTAATTTAAATCAGGTCAGACCCCCACAAAACTATAAAAAGGGACTATGTTATTGCCTCTCTCCTCTTAGAAAAAGCACACAAAACTATAAATTAAAGACTACATCATTTGGTTGAAATGGGAAACCACCAATCAGAGAATGTGTCCGCAGTTTTTGAAACATTATTGTGGAAGTCACTAACCATCGTCTGATGACCCTTATAGAAAGGCCAGTGAGATAAGATCCTCTTAGAGTTTAGAAAAGTTTGTCTCTTCTGAAAAATTGGGTTTCTTCCTTTATTGCATATTGAGAGATAAGTAACTAGTTTTATTTTCCCTTTTTGACTAAGCTGTCAGGAAACTCAGAACTAAATTTATTTTCAACTACAGTAACTATCCTCATCCTTTGATTTCTAATATTAATCCAATCTTTTCTTCTTCTCCCTAGACACACTTAACTCTTGGTCTTTCATCTTTGTTCTAATGGCTTTCTTAAATCTTTTTTATAAAATAAAATTTTAAGCAAGTGGAGTCCTTATCATTTAGAATCAAAACCAGGACACTTCTGGGAATAAAAGGAGAGCAATTAATAATTAAGTCAGGACAAGAGCTTAAACTGAGACTGTCCTGGGCAAAATAAAAATGTGGAGTCACTCTAGAAATAAATAATAAATATAGCAGATAACAACAGTTACTCCATTCCCAGGTTGGGGATAATTAAAGATAAACATGTGCTGTAATAGAGAATCCAAGTTAAGTTATGTCCTTCTCATTTATTGTGGTCACATCTGCTGCTTAGTTTATTTATTATCTCCTGGGAAATTTTGTAATTAGCCTCTGTATTGGTAGAGAAAAAAATCCTAGGCTTTCTTAAATGTCTTTAATTTCTACCAAAGGGGAGAGGGGAACCCTTTAGATCTGGAACAGTGATCACAATAGAGGTTTCATTTGTTTGTGATTTATGGAGACTTGGAATAAACGCACTATTGACCAGTATCAGATTTCTAATGACTCTATCTTGTTTTTCCTAAGCAACTTCTCATAAACTTTTGTAATCTCTTGAGCAGCCAGCTGATACTATGTTCAAGCCTGTTTACGGAGCTATTAATAACGCGATGTGGCAACTCGGGAAGAGTCAAACTGCTTTTTACCTCCATTGGCTGAAACAGCTTCCTGCTTATTTTGCAAAACATGGGGTTACCAAAGTCCTTGATGTATGCTGGATATTCTGCAAAGAAACCCAGTGAAAATAAATGGGATAATGTCTTTTAACCTACAGAGCTTGTAGTCAAAGGAAACATTGTCAATGCCTCGACTGCAGCATCTTTCATACAGGGAAGAGTGAGGTTTCAACCTGGTACAGGTTTAGAATTTAAAAGAAGATGGGAATCTGTTTCTGCGCATGCTCAGTCACGCTGTAAACCACCTTCTTGATGGCTGATCTGTTTTTCGAAGTCGGTTAATATTCTCTGATTAGACAAGTTGAAAATTTAATAATGACCATTTATTTTTTTGTGACTACATGCCAGGCACCACGTAGGGACTTTACACGTGTGTGTTGATTTGTTCTCAAAACAACTCTGTGAGGTGAAGGCATCGTTAGCCCCATGTTACAGTTATGAAAATTCCTGCTCAGAGAGAATAAGGAAGTCACCCAAAGCCACACAGAAAAAAAGGAGCAGAGGAGGATTTAAACCCCAGCATCTGACCCCTAAGCCTTGGTCTTCCTACTGTTCTGAACTTCCAGAGTAAGAAACTATCAGTGTGTAGACACAGGCTCAGCTCTGGGCCCAGGAGGAGGCCAGAGAAGGTGAGAGTAACAGTAACAGCAACGCCCACGGCGCACACTCTGCCAAAGGTTGTTTGCAAAGTTCACCAGGCTCGTCCAGGTCTCACCGCAGCCCTCTGGGGAAGGTACGGTGCCCACTTCACAAACGGAGAAACCTGGGAACAAGCCATGTACCCTCAAAGCCCCAACAGCACTTTCTGCGGTGCGTTCCCACATGACAGAGCATCCGGATGGTTCTCTGTCCCGCCTAGCACTTTACAGTTTTCAAATCACTCTGTATGCTTTATTTCATTTTTATTATCATCCTTGTTTCAGGTACTGAGAAATTGAGAACTTAAGCTGTTTCCCCAAAGCCACGGTCCTTGGCAGACACAGGATTTGAGCCCAGGTGTTTTTATACCTAGCCCAGGATTCCTTATTCCGGACCAGCCTGCGCCCCTGAAACGCAGCTGTAAGGAACAATGCGATCCTCAGCTTTTCCAGCTGATGTTAACCTATACCCTTCTGTACTGAAGGAAAGAATGGAAGCTTGATTTTGAAGCAAAATCCACATATTTCCTATTTCAGGGCCCAGGTGTAGGACAAAATGGTTTCAGTTTTCTTCAAGGTGGCAGCAACCTTCCTTAAAGTCAGACTCGGTGGCAAAGGGCTTGCCTTCCTGGCCCCTCCCTGACCCAACGAGAACGAAGACTGCTACTTTTCTAAACTCACACCCGTATCAGTACTAAGTCTAGAACTTACACATTATCAGAAGTAAAGGAAAACAGAATCTATGTCAATACAGATAACAGCCACCATTCCCTGAGCACTTCCTACCAGCTACGAAATCCCACGACTTCCCTCAGCCAGTTCTTACAACGCGAAGAGGCACTGTAGTTTTTTTTTTATCTTGAAGGAGAAAATCGAGTTTCCCAGAGGTTAAGTATCTTTCATAGTCGCTCAGCTGGTGGTGGCGATTTAAACCCAGCTCTGTCTCAACAGCTGCTCCGTGGAGTCCCTGAAGTCCAGCACCTTGCAGGCAGAGATGGACCCAGACCGAGCGTCCTAAACCCTTCAGGCCCCTCCTGCGTCGGCAGTCGGGTGGGATACTCAGCAGACACGTGAAAACGTGGCATGTGGTGGAAGACAGAAAGCAGCAAAGGAGCGAGGGCTGGTCGTTCCTACTCCCCTCTCCCTCTAGTGATCTCTCGGCTAACAGACATCCTTGCTCCTTTACGGCGGCTGCCACTGTCTGAAAGCATCTCGCTTGTTCGCTCATAATTTGTCTGTTGTTCCTCCTGGAACATAAGCTGCGCGGGAGCAGGGGGAGCCTGGCCGGCAGCATCCTCAGTCCCTGCACGATGCCTGGCACTCAGGTGGCACCAAAAGGATGAGGATGCCCCTGCTGAAAACAAAGGGGGACTACTCCCTTTATCTGGTAGATGCCTTAATTTTAAAAAAAGCTTCAGAATCACCATTTCTAAAAGGCAAAGAATGCCCTGATTTGCCAAGATTTTCGGAGAGCCGTGGTTATGAGCTGTGCCAGCCATTGCTCCTTAGACTTGTCTCTGATTTTTGTCTCGGTAACCCTGCTAGGGAGCCTGACAACTCCCCTGCCTCACTCCCCACTCTCTTCTCCCGTCCACCTCCAGTGAATACACAGCCTTCTCCGTCGACCAGCTGCACATCCGGGCTTGTAAACCAAGGCCCAGGTGGCTCTTCACTGATGGCTCATTCGTTATCTGTATGCTGAGCCAGTGCCTTTTCTGAGCAGATTTTTTTGCAGCTAAATTGATTTAAAAAAAAAATGCATTCTACAGAAAAAGCACTGCCTTTTGCTCTCTGTTCATCTCTTCCTTATTTCTTTGCTTCCCATCAAGTATATCCTGCAAATCTCCCTTTAAAAATCTGTCTACTGAGTATTTCAAATGCAAACTGTTGAGATTTTTTGTTTGTCACTTTTTGAGCCACCACAACGCCAACAGGCTGCTCTAAAGAACACCGCCATCCTGCCACCGCCCCATGTTCCTCTCAATGTTTGGCTATTTTTACAACATATATCCAGTTTGAAAGATAATACTGATACCTTGTTTTATACGAACATTTATACACCAGGACCCTGGCAAGGGACTGACTTCATTGGGATATTTTATGGCTTAATACATCTGAATGATTTATACCTCGTTTTGTCTAAGCATTTATGCTAATAAATTTAACAGATTCCCCAGCACTGCCTGGTCCTTCACTTTCTTCAGGGGTCAAAGTGAGAGGAAAATAAAGCAGCGTGTTACTAAAGAAAGAAGGAAGAAATTGGTCCAACCGATTTAGAACACAAATAAAGTTACAACACAAATAAAATCTCTGATTACAGTTAAGCTGGAGAAACAGTCAAAAGAAGAAAAGTTCCTAGATCCAGATAAATTTCTGTAATTAAGCTGTTTCTCAAAGGCGAAATCACACAAACAACAGAATATTCAGCAATCTAATTTACTGAGGAATCTTTTGGTCCTACATAATTAAATCCAACACTGAGGAAAAACTGACAACTATTAAACTGAGTGCAGTCAGGAGAGGAAAAAGAGATAAGATAAGATCCAGTCTATAAAATATATTCCATTATCTTTTACAGGTTAAAAAAACACAGAAGAAATACTTGGAAAGAATTCTCTAAGATAGATTTTAAGATTGTGTGGGGATTTTTTTTTACAGGTGCAGAATAAGTTGAGTGTTCTTTCTCTTGCTTTTCTGCTTTTCTCCTTTTTCCCCTGTTGTCTGCAGAGTTGAATCTGGGGTCAGGAGTTCTAATTGTAACCTCAGACTGGAATTCCAGATGGTGCGCCCGGGACTGGAAGCAGCTCTCAGTTCATCAATTTCATGGGCCGAGTATCTGCTCCGGCCACGGCCCGGCCTCCATCCCCACTGTGGCATTAATGCAGAACAAATTGAGACATATCCTCTATATAATTAGTTCCAGAATTTAAAAAGATTTACGGTATCGTAATAGAGGCGGCGCTGCAGCGTCCTTTCACCGGGGACTCTGTGGGAGCTCGGGGACCATCTCGCGGGGCGTCAGGACAGACGGTGGCCCCGGCGGTTCGAGGCACCGAGCGGGGAACCGAAGAATTTTCACGGCGCACCCGGCAGTGTGCGCGCCCCCTGCGCCCCCAAAGCGGCTCGGAGAATTGGGTTTGAACTGGAGATGGGGGATTGGTCAAAACATCGACCTAATTTTCAAATGAACAGAGGGGGCCGGGGTGGAGGGTGGACTATAACAAAAGTTCCTCCCTTCCTTTTTTTCAGTTTAAAGAAATGAAGCTGCGATCTCCCGTGCCCAAGCGCCTGCCCCGCGACCAGGGCGGGCAGACTCCGGCGCTGGGCCTGCTGCCGGTCTGCGCCGCCGAGCCCCCCTCTGGCCGTCCTCCGGCCGTCCCGGCCCCGGCCCCGGCCCTGACTGCTCCGCGCTTCACTCAGTTGGGGCGGCCGCGGGGCGACGCCCGGAGCGCAGCCTGAGCGCGCTGGGCCCTGGGGCCACGGCTGCAGCGCCCGCGCCGCGCTCGGGCAGGGGCAGTTGACAGCGCCGGGGTCAAGCGGGGGTTCAGAGGTCCCCACTGCCCGCTCCCACTCAGGCGCGATATTTTGATCCTGTAATAATTAAGCACCGTTAGGCCAGGATGAGCTTTACCGACGTTCCAAAGCCACCCGGGCTCCCAGAGTCCCGCTCGCCCTCCTTTTTCCTTTCCCCCTCATTCCTTTAGCCTTTAGGGCCTTGGGATGGTGGTAAAGCCCGAGCTGGATGTCGAGGGACCTGGGTTTCGGCTCGGCTTTGCCACTAACTTGCTACCTGTGTTTGAACAACAATAGAAACAAAAGTGGTAACGTCTGTTGAGCGCATAGGCCAACACTAGCCTCCTGCCCAATCCCCGAGACCTCATGAGCTCATTTCCCATTATTCCGTTTGACCAAAAGGGAAACAGGTTTGGAGAGGCTACGGAACTCGTCTAGGGTCACACAGCTGCTGGTCACCCGGTGGAACGGATTCCATTCTCTGGCCACCAGTCCTTGCTCTTAACCCCTGCGCTCCACAGCTACTTTTTCTCCCGTCTGTGCCTCAGTTTCCGTCTCTGTAGAATGAGGAGTTGAAAGTCCAGCTCTGCCAATCAGTGATGCAGACCGACCCTCTGCGCCGCACGTCTCAGGGCTGATGGGGTGGTAAAGTGGGTGAAAGAAGGGGCCGGCCGGGTCTCCGCAGCCTTCGTTCCCGGGACCCCGGGTGGGCCTCGACCACAGCGGGTGCAGGAGAGCGCCGACCTGCGGGGGCGGGAGGAGGGTGCAGCCCGTGCCCAGCTCGGGCACCGAGGCCGGTTTGGCAGGGGTACCTGCCTGGGTCACCGAAGAGCGAGCGGGTTACTCGGGGGAGGAGAGGCGGGAGCGGGGGGGCCCTGCAACCGCAGGAGTCTGCGCCCCCCCCGCGCTGGCCCAGGTCCGCCTGGACCCCTGGCAAGGGATGGGTGGGCGTGAGGCCTCCGGCTGCGGCTGCGGGCGGCTCGGGGCGCCGCGTTCACTGCGCGGTCCGCCGGCGGCAGGGAGCTCCCCCCACCGCAGCGGACTGACTGCGAGTCCGGGCGGGAGAGGGGGTGCCGGGGCCAAAACGAGGTCGCACCGCGGCTCTTCCCTTCCTCGAGTATTGTCAGGCAACACGTGGCGGAGGGGAGACGAGTCCTAAATTTACTCGGCTCCCCTTCCCCTCACCCTACTCAGCTCCCCCCCCCCAACCCCCGGGCAAAAATTCTTTTTAACGTAAAGACCGAGAGTTAGGCGCCTTTGCCCTATCTGGGATTCAAAAACACAAAAGCTCCCATTCAAGTCACCTCCTCCAAATACCAGCCCAAAAGCTTGCCAAGGAGGATAAAACAGAAACAATCTCCACCTTTCGTTTGGAAATGGAAGTCCCTGGCTTTTCATAAAGGGCGGTCCTTCCCGCGCGGGCTCTTGAGTGAGTCCTGGGTAAGAAAACGACTCCGAAGTAGAAATAAAATCGGGGGCCGGACACGGGTCTGGGCGTTCCAGGGGCGACTCGGCAGGAGAAGCTGAGCCTCGCGGGGCGGTTCTCCGCCAAAAAGACCCACCGCGCAAGCCCCCCGTGCAACCCTGGGGCGCGGGGGCTGGAGATGCGGCCTACGGGAGAGGACGGGCGCTGGCCTCTAAAGTCTTTTCGTTTCTAAAACAAAAATAAAAAGCTTCCGAGTGGAGACCAAGCAGAGTTAAGGCACCAAAGTAGCGCAGAGAGATGTCCACACCTGCGAAGGTAGCCTGGGGACACGCGGGGAGCACACGTTCCCGACCTTTGCCCTTACGGTCTCTCGTGCCTCCAGGACCCGTGCCGCCAGGAGTCCCGAGTGCGGGTCCCGAGCCTGCGCGCGCTTCGGGTCCGCGGCCGGAACCGACGGCTACTTCGTTTACTCCGTGCAAATTAAAACCAAAACGTCAGAAATGGAGAGTAAGTCAAGGCTTTCACGACGCGCGGTTCCTCTACAGCTGCAACTGCCCTGATGCTGCTTCACGTGGGCTTGGCTGGGAGCCGGGGGCCCCTCCAGGGCCGCTTTGGTGAGACGCCCACGGCCACCGGCCGCTCCCCGCCCCGCGCTCCTGGCCGTCCCAGGCTGCGCCGTCGCCGCTGCCTCCCGGCTCTCCCCGGGGCGTTTCCGCGCGCCCCTGAAACGCACTCCAATCCGGTTCTCGGCGTTTCTCCTTGCCTGGGGTCTCCTCCATAGATGCCGACTACTTTGGAAGAACCAAAAAACAAAACCAGACCTCAAACACCTGCTCTGGGGCGCGGGGCTCGCAGAGTGAGTAGGTGGAGGAGGAGTCGGCTTTGGTGATGCCAGGCGCCCGGAGCGCCCAAGGTGCGAACACTGCCTTGGACCGTGGGCCGCTGGAGGCTCTCCTCCTCGGTCAGCCTAACTGGCTCGGCCTCTTGAGCAGTCTGCATCCCGAGTGGGACTCCCGACCGCGAACAGAGGCAGAGCTCGGCGGGAGCGGCTCCAAGAGCCGACGTCTCCCCGCGGGCTTCCTATTCAAACCCTCCCCACGTCCCACCCCCACAGTGGGCACCGGGTTCTCTGGCCGGGATGTGTGCAGGCGCTGAGCGTTCCCTAAGGGTTTAATGCCCTCCCAAACCAGCTGCTGTTTTCCCAGCTTCACCGCAGAAGGTCAGGTACTCACTAGAAGGGGCGATGGTGCCGCTGACATCGATTTTAGTACGGGGCCACCGCCCTCCTCTGGGCGCAGACCTACCAAGTGACCAACTACCAGACGGCCGAATACGCCCTGGTTATCACAACTGAATGCAGCCCCTCCAGGTGACCCACGATGGCCTGGAGTCTGACCTCCGGAACCCAAAAGGGGTCACCCCCTCCCCAGTGACCCCGGGATTATGGCTACCACTCCAGCCCGACAGACTCGCGGGCGCCGAGCGAGGGAATCCGGGAAAGTTCGCTGCGCTCGCCTCAAGATCCCGCCCTCGGCGGGCGACCCCCCCCCCCCCCCCCCCCCCCGTCCCTCCCCCTGATCCGCCCTCTCAGATTGACAACCCCATCCCTGCCCCCATCACCCACGTTCGCGGAGGACACATTCACCGCTCACCTGGAGAGGCTCGCCAGTGCCTCGAGGCGCCCACACCCGCGAAGGCGAAGGGGAGGAGGAGGAGGGCTGTGGCCCACAGGCCAGCGGAGAGCGCGCGGCGGGTAGGAGAGGAGGGAGTCTGCGAGAGGAACGCTCCTTCAGGCCCGCCCCCCACCCCCGCTGCCAGGGCGCCCCCAAGGAACCGCGCGCGCCGCCAGGACCGGCCAGGGCTGTGGTGTGAATGGAGCAGACGAGGCTCCTGGCTCCTCCTCCTCCCCCGCCGCCAGCCCCTCTTATTTGAGCTTTGGGAAGCCGGGGGCAGCCCGGCAGCTGGGGTAAGGAGTTCAAGGCAGCGCCCACAACTGGGGGCTCTCCGCAACCCGAGCGCCTGCCGGCTCCCCCTTCCCGCCCTCCCTCCCACTCATTCTCCCACCCACCCAGAGCCGGGCCCGCCGCCTCCTCGCCGCGACCCTGGACTTCCTCCTGCTGCAGGAGCCGGCCTCCACGTGTGCCCCAGAGCCGGCGTCTCCGCACGCGCTCCGCTCGGCGCCTGGGTGCCCTCCGCAGTCCGAGCCGCCGGGGGTCCGGGGCCCGGGCGGCACCTGGGCCAAGCTAGGCGCGGCCGAGCCGAGCGCCGAGTGCCTGCCGGGCCGGAGGAGCCGCGGGGCGGCCGGGGTCGGGCCGCAGCAGATGGGCTCCGACGTGCGGGACCTGAACGCGCTGCTGCCAGCTGTGCCCTCGCTGGGCGGCGGCGGCGGCTGCGCCCTGCCGGTGAGCGGCGCCGCGCAGTGGGCGCCGGTGCTGGACTTCGCGCCCCCCGGCGCCTCGGCCTACGGCTCGCTGGGCGGCCCCGCGCCGCCGCCCGCCCCGCCGCCGCCGCCGCCGCCGCCGCACTCCTTCATCAAGCAGGAGCCGAGCTGGGGCGGCGCGGAGCCGCACGAGGAGCAGTGTCTGAGCGCCTTCACCGTCCACTTCTCGGGCCAGTTCACCGGCACGGCCGGAGCCTGTCGCTACGGACCCTTCGGTCCTCCTCCGCCCAGCCAGGCGTCCTCCGGCCAGGCCAGGATGTTCCCCAACGCGCCCTACCTGCCCAGCTGCCTCGAGAGCCAGCCCGCTATTCGCAACCAGGGTAAGCAGGCCAGGGAGCGCCCCCTGCACACGGGGCGGTGGCGACCTGGCCGTGGCCGAGCGCGGGCCTTCCTCGCCCTACCCCTTCCCTGATCCCCGCTCCAGCCCGGGTGCCTCCCCGGACTGCGAGTGTAGCCGCTTCCGCTGGGGGCGAGGAGGCCCAGGAGAGGGAGCGCACGCCGGCCCGGGCTCCTGACATTCTCCGGAACCGGACTGTTCGTAGGAGCCGGGAGGCCCCCTGGGGCACCTCGGACCCGGGAGGCTCCTGGACTGCGAGTCCCAGTGGGAGTGGGCAGGGGGAACCGATGCAGTGTCTGACTCTGCCTCGGAAAGAGGTTTTGTCCCTCAGGGCACCACCAAAGTGTCACCAGGCATTGGACTTTTAAGACATTTAAATTTTGGATTCGGAGTGAGACCAGCGCAGGGTGAGCAGCGCATGCTGCCTCTGCCGCCAAAACGTCCAGGAGCCGCTCTCGTCCCTAATACGTAGTGGCACAAACTAGACGCGCAGTGAGTACCCCCGAGCTCAGAACGCGCAAAGGAGCGGGCCAGCCGTGGGTAGAGGCTTTCCTGGAACGCTGTCAGCGTACGGCTCCCGCGTCTTTGATATAGAGGCCGATCTCTCCTGGGTTCCAGCTCACGGGGCGGCCACGCGGGCTCCGGCGCTGGGAGGGAACCCGGTTTATGCGATTCCTAGTCTGCGGGCCGGGGCCCTACCGCAGGAAGTGGAATGAGCCCCGAGCGTGGCCTGCCTTCCAGCTTGCCTCGGGCGCCTGCTCCTCGTGGAACTTGGGGCTCAGCTGGTGAAAGGTTTTTGCAGGACGTGTGCGTGAGAGCAAGGACGGGCTTACTTGCCGTCTTCAGTCGTCCGTCGAGGGATCTGGCTGGTGGTTTTCCCATCCTGCGCTGGCGCCCGCACACCTCCCTCAGGGACCCGCGCGGGACCAGTCCTGCGGAGTCCTTGTAGTTGGGTTTATAAATTTGTTCTAATTGGACTCCACTGTTGAGAACCTAAACTACTTCGGGGTGACTCGATATTTTAGGAAATGCTTTACAAACGCAATGACGGATGTTTTTCCTGGAGGAAAAATTCGCGCGGGCCTAGGGACTGGGATGTCTCTGGAGCGTGAGAGATGGGAGGAGCAGAGCGTACCGTTTGCAGGACGTGCCGGGGCTCGGGAGGCGCGCGAAAAGGGCTCTCTTCTTCCCGCCGTCGCGCGCACCTGCTAAACGCGCATCTGCAGGCCGTCTCTACCGCAGCTCAGCCCGGAGCACCTGGCCCACTAGAAGCCCAGCGAAACCGCAGTCTCTCTCCTCACTGCGTCCGGGGAATCTGGGATCTGGTCCCGTAGAGGAACCTCAAGCTGACCCACGGGGTTCCTCCTCTCTAGGTCTTTTCTAAATGAAATTAGTATTTCAGACTCAGGGGATATGGGAACAGCTCAAGTAGAACGCAGAAGCTTAGGTTGTCTGATGTGCCACCTTTAATTAGCAGGTTGGTGTTATATTTGGCAAATCTCCAGGTCTCAGTTTCCCCATCTGTGAGAGGAGAGCTGAGCTGGGCAACCTGGAGGTCAGTCCGGCCTGAAGTTCTAGGCCGCAGAAGCAGAAGCCAACTTTTCATGGCTTTGGGGTTTAAACAAAAGGCAGCAGCCCACCTAAACTTGACTGGGCCAGAAACGCAGGGCTGGGCGGCAGGTGTGTGAGGCGAGTGAGTTTCTGGGGACTGTGCTGTTTGGAGGAGCCTGAGAAGCGTTTGATCTAAGTCCCCAGGGTACAGAATACTCCTGGGTCATTATCATTTACTCCTGTCCTTCTCCGTTCCTTGGGATTTTTGGAACCTGGGCTCTGTTGCTTTGGGCCCCTGTGTCCAGCCTTTTACAGGGCTGGTCTGGTGCCTGGAACCCCATCAACCTAGCATGGGGGGGGGGGCAAGACTATGGGCTTCTTAGCTGGTGGGCACTACATGTAAGGGGAAAATCAGAATTCCTCTCTAGCAGATAGAGTGGCTGCCAAAAAGACAAAGGGCTTGGGAGCCAGGGACCAGGACTTGCAGGTGAAGGAGTCCGCTCTCCCTACCCCGGGGGAAAGCCTAGTGGAGAGCTGGCCCCAGACTCAGGCCACAGACTGTAGGCTGGTTCCTGTCTGTGGGCTCAGGTTTTCTCCTGCATTGAAGACATAAATGGGCCACCCTGACCTGGACCTTGGACCCATGAGGGAGCTGGGAGCTGGAGTGGGATGTCAGAAGCTGCTCTGGCCTCAAGATTCTGGGTTTATTCTCTTGATTCCTGGGTTCCTGTGTTCCCCCCCTCCTTGTGGGAGGCCTGGGCTGGGGGAAGCCGGGGCTTCGGCTCCTTCCCCAGAGTGTGGGAATGGCCATCAGCAGGGTGAGGCCACACTCAAGCAGAGAGGAGCCCAGACTCTGGATCCCTGTCTGCAGGCAGGGCAGCCATGCCACCGCCCACGGGAGAGGACAATTGCTGGTACCCACTCCTCCCCCCACCAGACATCTTATCTCATTTACTTTCCCCCCTATTTTTTTTTTTTTAAAGATTTTATTATTTCCTTTTTCTCCCCAAAGCTCCCTGGTACATAGTTGTATATTTTTCGTTGTGGGTTCTTCTAGTTGTGGCATGTGGGATGCTGCCTCAGCGTGGTCTGATGAGCAGTGCCGTGTCCACGCCCAGGATTCGAACCAACGAAACACTGGGCTGCCTGCAGCGCAGCGCGCGAACTTAACCACTCGGCCACGGGGCCAGCCCCCTTTCCCCCCTATTTTTTAAATGTTATAGCTGATGCCCTAACCTTACTTCTAAACATTAATTCAGCAAGGATTTATTGAGCATCTCCTCTGTGCCAGGCTGGGGGTTGAACATTGGTTAAGACCATTAATGTGCCTCAACCTTTGCAAGAAGCTCCCAGCCTGGAATTGGAGGAGTCCCTTATGTTTGGATGAGGAGGCCTGGCTCTAGGAGATGATGTGCAAGAGACCTCTCAGTTTGTGGCAGAGCTGGAACTCCAACTCAGACCATTCTAAGCTATTTCTACCTCCTTTTCCAGGGATCTTGGCCCCACTGTTGAGATGATTCCCTCTGCCGGGTTAGATGGGCAGTGAACCCTCTGCAGTCCAGGTGTGAGGGTTGGGGGGGGGGGTTGTCAGCGCAGAAGGGTGAGAACTTCAGTAACCCCAGAGTAAGCGAGGGATTTAAGGAGGGAAAGAGAAGATCGCTTGTCAGTCAGCCCGATTCGCCAGCCCCGCTGGCACAGGAGGAGGCCTCGGCATCGCCAGGCCATCCCAGGGCCACGTGGGGGACCAGCTCGGCCTAAGGCCCGGGGTGCCTCCTCCGGTCGCACGGGAGAGGGTATCTCGTGGCGGGACAGATTCCCCGTGTGCTGCTGCAATGCGAAGTCATCATTTTCAGCCTCTCCCGCCTTCTCGCCTTCCCGCCTGGGCCTGCTGTCCGCTCCACCTCTCAGCTCCCCGGCCCAGGCCCATGCTTCCCAGCTTCCCCCCCCCCACCCCCCCAAGGCGGGAACGGGGCGCAGGGCACAGAGCGAGTCTCCCCTCCCCGCGCGTCAAGGTTGCGCTCCCTTCCCGGCCGGGACTAACCGTGGGAACGGCTAGAGCGCGTCCCTCTAAGGCCTGGACCAGGAGCCTTCGAACGCGCTGTCCTTTCCGCCCGCAGCGCCCCCGCCCCCGAGCCCCCTGCACCCCCTGCGCCCGGCCCAGCGCGAGGCCCCGACCAAGCGCCCTAATCAGCCCCGCGGTCAGATAAGCTTCTAACTAAAAGAGCCCTCCCTCTCTCGGCGCTTTCGCCGCTGCCCCTGGGAGGACCTGAGGGAGGGGTTGGAGGCGGCCCTGCCCCCCGGGGTCTGCGCGTCCTGTCTCGGAGGGGACGTGGGGGGCTCGCCGGCACGGGAGCTGCGGCCCGCACCCCGTGGCCCTCGCCGCACGGCGGCTGCGGAGCCCGCCTCCGAGGACAGCACGGTGCCGGCCCAGCAATGGAGCAGGGTTCGTCCGGAGACGATTTCTGTCGCTTCTCTTTCTCCTTTTCTTTACTTAAAAAATGTCCTTTCAGAATTCGGTCTTTCCTCTGCAAAATGGGGCACTGAGAGCCAAATTTCGTTTGTGTGCTGATTGGTAAGCCTCAAACGGGGCCTGACCTCCGCTCCCAAAAGGAAGCGCCTGGAAGCCCAGGCAAGCTCACCCGTCTGACACCTAACCGGTGGGTTATCTCTGCCCACCTAGCAGGCGAGAAACGAGGCCTCCGGGGTTACGTAAATTATAAAAGCCGGTGGCTTTTTGAGTTAACCTGTGGCGCCAATCGGTGCGTGAGACTTGGCCTGCCCTACACAAAACCCAGTGATTAAGAGACGCTCCCTCCCGCTCTGACACCACATCCCCCGGGGTGGACGGTAGAAGTTCGGATTTTGTTTCTGTTTTAGGGGTGTGTGTTTCCAAGACGTCGGAAACAGCCTCCTTTCTCTGTGCAACCTAAGTCGGCGCGGACACCTGCTCCAGAGCCCTTGTCATGGGAATGGGATTCGTGGGAGGCATCTGGCTCCCCAGAACTGAGCAGAGTTTGGAGACCCAGCGCAGTGGCTGGAGGTGGGGGGACTGGGACTGACCCGGTGGCTCTGCAGGGCCGACGTGAGCGTCTGGGCCAGCCTCATTTCCCATTAGGCCAGGGCCTCAGGCCAGAGACCCGAAGCCTGCCCGTAGGAGGGGACCCCACCTTTGGTCTCAGGGCCCCAGGACTGATCCTTATTTTAGCGGGAAGGTGTTTATTCCCCACAGGCAGCAGCAGTTTTCCAGAAGCTGATAGGGTCTATGTTTAAAGCAATTTAGTAACAATAATCCTAGGAGACTTGTTCATCAACGGAGACACCAGGACACGCACCGTATTGCCCTCGGTTTCTTCGCAGGGAAACTGAGGCAGAGGACGGTGCACTGCCATGGAGGGAAAGGGAGATGCAGCGTCAGGCACACACCAAAAGAAGCTGGCTTCTCGGCCTGGGCACGGGGAGGTGGCCCCCGCAGTAGTGGTTCGGACCACTGGGTGCACGGTGGGTCCAGAGCGGAGAAGGAGGCGCAGTGTCTAGGCCGGCGGACCCAACTGGAGAGGCCCCTTCTCTCCCTTCCCCCCAGCTTTCCGAGGGCCTGGGTGTCGGGGCGCACAGCCTCGGGCAGATTAGTCGGTAATTACTCTCCCCATTTGAAGTCCCTGCCGTTTAACTGGCTCGGAGTAATTAATGAAAGTGGGTGCGCGGGCCGCTGATTTACGGCTCCGAGTCAGCGCGGGGTCAGCCGAGCAGCTTCATTTCGCTCGCCGGCGCTGCCGCTGCGCGAGAGCCCCGGGTTTTGGTTTTGGGGGAGAACAACTTTCTCCGCCCAGCGGTTTTCGTACCCAACTTGCTGGAGGTTCGGTGCAGAAGTGGCACACACCGTGGAAGGCAGGGCGGGGACCACGTACGGGGTCACACGTCGAGGCTGGGGCCTGGCTTCCCGCCCAAAGCCCGGGAGGCTGGCGGGGCGCACAGCCCTCCGCCGGCGTCCCATTGCGGGGCGGGGGCCCCTACGCCGGTTCTGGTTCAGACCCATCGGCCCCGTCTCCCCGCTGACGCTGTGCTTCTCTCCACCGCGCCCGCAGGATACAGCACGGTCACCTTCGATGGAACGCCCAGCTACGGCCACGCGCCCTCGCACCACGCGGCGCAGTTCCCCAACCACTCCTTCAAGCACGAGGACCCCATGGGCCAGCAGGGCTCTCTGGGTAAGCCCGCGCGGGAAGGTCGGGGTCCACCCCCCCTTACATGCTGCCCCTCCCCGGAGTTTCAAACCCATAGCAGATCCGGGAAAGGAGAGTACATCTAAAGAGGTTTTAGGAATAAGTAGGTCTACCTCACTCGACTTAAAAAGTTGAGTTTCTCCACCCCAAATGCGTTGGGACAGCTCCACTCAGTCACACCTTCGAACGTCTTTTCGGGGTACTACTACGCAGTGGCGACTAAAGGAATGTAAAGTGTCCCGATCAGGTCGCCCTTTCTCCGCACCGCCCAGCGTCCAGGCCCCATCGCCCCCAGCTTGGCCTCGGAGACCGGCTCCGCATGCTCTCCCTGCCCTGCCCGCGGCCTGGTGCCCCCGAGGCCTGGGGGCGCTCACTCGACTGTTCCCGGCTCTCTGCAGGCGAGCAGCAGTACTCCGTGCCACCCCCGGTCTACGGCTGCCACACCCCCACCGACAGCTGCACAGGCAGCCAGGCCCTGCTGCTGAGGACGCCCTACAGCAGGTAGGAAGGCAGTTGGCACCACCGTGAATGGGTCCCCGGGACACGGAGGGGGAGCGCGAGTGGCGGGCGCCGGCAGCCCGGACCGGGGGGCGCAGGGTCCTGGAGGCGAAGGACGCCTTAGCCCACTCGGTACTTAAAGCAAATTAAAGCAGATCTTCTGGCTCTGACTTGAAAGAAGGGCGTTTGTTCATTTCTTGGGGTTCTTATTTTGCATATAAAAGAGGGCGATTACTGTTTGGAGCTGAAGAAGAACGGCGCTTTGGGAAGGTATTTTTTTAAGGGCTCTGCTGGGAGGACTTGAGCTTCCTTGGGACCCAAGAAAAGCACGGGGTCCACTCCCACTCGGCTCTTCTCGCTCCTCAAACCCCGCGCCACTGGCACAGGGGCCGAATTTCTTGGGGACTTGAATTATTCGAGGGCGCGCACAGCCCCCACCCCTGCCCCCGCCCTGCGGAGTCCCGGGAGCGGCGGCGCTCGGGGGCGTCGTGCTCCGCGGCTGCCACCGCTGGGCCGGACCGGGCCGTGCAGCCGAGGCGCTGCCTGCGGGGACTGCTCAGCCCGCGCCGGCCCCTCTTCCCGCTCCCGGAGGCGGAAGACCGGCTTCTTCCTGCGCCTCGTGCCTTCTCTCCCCAAATTTACTCTTCACCTTCGGGTGAACTTGGCTGGCGTCCGCGTCCGCGATAGGGTTGCCTGGTAACGCGCGGCGGAGGGAGGCGGCGCGCAGCGCCCGGATTGGGCGCGCATGACCTCATCGCCCCCCACCGACCCCGGGCTGCGGGGGTTTGATACCGCCTGCCCCCAGACTCACCTCCATCCTCCTCGGCTCGGGACGCGGGGCTGATGTCACGGAAGGAGGTAGTGAGGTCATGAAGGAAGGAAAAGGGCCTGCCCCCGGAGACTGGGTGGGGGCCGGCGCCCTGGGCCTCCTGTCCACAGCGGGAGGAGGGGACCGACTCTTCCTTCCGAGCCCACGGGCGCGTCCCACCACCCGGCGTGCTCTGGACGCTGAGCCTGCGGCTGGGCTGGTCTCCAGGTCGCCTCTCCTTCCGTGGAGGGACACGGTCGCGCACCCGAGCGCGCGAGTTTTGAGACCTTCCCTTTTGATGGGAAAATCCCATACATCGAATCGGGTCTTGGGTTCGAGATCACTCTCGCTCTCTTCCTTCCTTTCTTCTTTCTTTCTTTCTGAGAAAGAGAGGCAGAGAAACGCACGCGGTTGCACAGACGGAGCTGGAATGGTCATCCCTCCGCACCTTCTCTTCTCCCTCCTAGCTGGAACCCAGCTCTGTCTTTGGCACTGCAGGTTCTGCCCCAAGTCCGCCATCTTCGCTCCTCCCTCCGTGGGTCAGTCTCTGGAGTGGGTGTAGAGTGGCACCATTCTCTGTCGTGACCCCCGCCTCGCCCCAGAAAAACTTCGGCAGCTGTCATTGCCATCCTCCTGGAGGAGCTGCTCCTGCCCGTTGCGAAAGCGGGGTTGCTGTCCTTCCGGGAGTCACTGGGGCAGAGTTGGAAGGGTTCCCCATAGGGTGACCTTGGCCCACTCCTCCTTCCTTGGCTCCTGGTGCCTCACCCAGGGGGCGAGGAGGACCTGATGCCGGGAGTGGGTGCTGTTTAGATGAGCTGGGATACCCCCTTGGGGTTGGGGCCCAGGAGGCATTGGAGTCTGGTTGGGTGGTGACATGCAGCTACACACACTTTCCTTTCTCACAAGTGTAGACCCAGCTTTTGGGTCACTAGGAAGGGACCCATCAGAGGGACTGAGCAGCCTAGAAGGAAAAGGAGTGAGGGCAGGGAGGGTACAGTGATGACACCACCTCATGGAGTCCCTGTGGTAGGTTTGACTCAGGGCTGAATTTGTGATTGCTGTGAAAGCAGGGGAAGTCACTGGATTGCGTTTTATACATACGTTTTTCACATTTCATGATACAGCTTCTCATTGGCCGTGGTGTAAAGCAGCTTTGTCAGGTTCATCTTTGGGAAATAATTCCTTATCCCTTTCTTCTTTGTACGTAATTGGAACTTTTTTGGTTCTTGTTTTTATGTGAATGTCATAAAAATACCATTTTCTCCTGTTACAGAAAATTTCCTAAGCAACAACTTCTCCTAAAAAAGAATTTGTGACCCTGATAGGAAGAGTTTGCTCTCTTAAGTCTGTACTGTCTGAGACTTTGATGCTCTGTCCACCCTGAATTCACAACGTTTCCAGTCGCTTTTCTGAGATCAGGTCAGACTCTTCCCCTGAGGTAACATGAATGGACAGGTGAGGGGTGTTTTGCTATGGGGTCTGTGCATCAGCATGCCTGGAGTTATGTTGGTTCTTTCTTCCTTGCTCCTAAAAAGCTTTGAAAGGATGTTGAAATGCCTTTGTAAATGCAGTGTTTGAAAAGTCATAAGGAATAGGACTAAACTTCCATTGCTTAACGACTCAACGTTTAGTGGTGCTTCCACTGTCCCTGGCTCCATCCCTTTCCGTCCGACATTGGGACCTCCTGGAAAAGGCTGGCTTGCGTTCTGTGTGCCTGGTTGCATTTGACCCCCGGGCAGCCTGCTCCCTCGTCTTTGCTTTTCCCGATGCCCTCCCTCCCGAAGCTCTCTCTCTCCGACCTCAGAGCCCCTCCCTTCCCAGCGTGAAATTAAGGTGGCATTCCTGGGCCGACATTAAATAGGCACGCACAGCATGACTTTGCTTTGAGGAAGTTCTCAGAACTCGCTCCTCGTTGGGAGAGAGCCGCACAGCCATCCTCCCTCTCCCGCAGGCGGCAGGGCTGAGGAGGTGCATGTACCTGTGTGCAGACACAGGCGGTAGCCAATGGACGCTGCCCCCATGCAGCTTAAGGAAGTAACTGGAGATGGGTTCCCCCTTCCCCCTGCCCCCACGTACGAAAGAGGTTTGTCTGTCACCAAGGCTTCTGAAACCTGATGTCAGCCCTTAGGGAACCCAGTGACCACAGCAGGATAAAAGCATGAGACCCTGTAACATCCTAACTGGTATTTGTTGCATGCTGACCGTGTGCTGCTGGGCACTGTGCTGCGTGCTCCACTCAGGTCCCTCATTAATCCTTCTGACTACTCTGTGCAGTAGGTGCTCCCATCGCCACTTTCCTGAAGAAGAAATAGGCCTAGAGACTCAAAGTAACTTGTCCAAGGTCACACAGCGAGTGAGAATCAGGACCAAGGTTTGATTCTCAATCTCTGACGTCAAAGCCTGCCTGTGTTCTGAATCACTGAGGGATTCCAGGCCACTCTGCGTCCTGTGCCTGGAATATTCTCCGTAGACAGTCTGGGCTGGCGCTGTTGCTGACGAATAAGAGCAGATGCTTGTGTAGACCTACTGCGTCCAGGCACCGTTCTCAGCGCTTTACAGAGTGTTAAGTTGTTTAATCCGTGACTCTTTGGGGTAGGCAGTAGGTTATCACCTCCATCTCACACAGGAGGAAAGTAAGGCCCTGGGAGGTGAGTTAGCCCAGGGTGACTCGGGACTGGGCGGAGCTGGTGCTCAAATCCAGGAGGTACGGCTCTGAGCCCTCCTCCTACCAGCTCGCTGCTCCCCCTAAGGACACGTGTTTTCTTTCTAAAGGTGGCATCTGTCCTGGGTCTCACTAGAGGAAGGTGTTTATTCCTCACAGCTGTGAGAGAAACCCTGCTGTTTGTTAGCTTAACCACTCTTTCAATAGAGAGCACTTAGTGGACAGGGGTGGTATTTTCCCTGGTGGACATTGTGGCACCACCTGGAGCTCTCTCCCAAGGTCCTGAGGCACAGAGCAGTGTCTGTCTCAGACCCCTCCAGCTGCTGGGCGGGACACGCCGGGTGACGCTCAGTCCAGGCCCCCGAGGAAACCCAGCACAGAGACCTCCTCCCTGTGCTTCCAGACCCAGGGGCTTGCAACCACGCTGGTTTGTGCTGGCTCAGAGGCCAGGCCCAGGGAGGGCTGGACCCCGAGCTCTCTTGGGGGGTGGGAGTGGCGAAGGGCACCCTCGGAGACCTTGGTTTTCCCCTGATCTCTCCCCAGAACGGGAAGCTCGCAGGGCCTCCCCTGCTCTCTTTTCCTGAATTCTCCTCCCTCCACAGGCCCCTCTGCCTCCTCTGCTGCTGACCTCCTTGGAGCCCCCACTTTGAAAAGGAGTTCCGTGCACTGTTTGGAAAATATTCCCGTGCACGCTGTTCTTTTAGGCATTCTAGTCTTTTCTTTGTTTTCGCTCGTTTGTTAGGTTTGCAGATCCCCCTTGAGCAACTGTGCTACCGATTTAAATGAGGGTAACTCCTTCTGCCCCTCGGCAGGTAGAACTGCTCCACTGTGGGAAGCAGTAATTAGTCATTTGGATATTTTAAATTGAGTGTTGATGACTCACAGATGGTGAAGTTGACAGTGGAGCCTGTTACAGGAGATTGTGAGAGAAGCTCCTGAGCAGCCGTAGAGCTTCTGGGAATCTGGGTCAGTGGGAAGTCCTCAGTCCAACATTACAGCTGGACTTCTCCAGAGACAGCTTGTGCCCGGGGAAATACAGTCATAATTCGTAGTGCCTTTTTCGCTTGTGTGTCCATGTACACTTTACACTGCATAAGAGTGTCACTTAAGACGACACTGGTAGTTGTTTCCCGCGTCGTAGGCATGAAGACAAAAAGTCTGAAATGGTTTCCAGGGTGTGGGCACTGTTATCAAAGCCAACGGCCTGAATTGGACTTGTCTCCAGGGAAGGGGGAAAATCTGGTTTCAAATATTCCTGCAACTTTTTGCTGACCAAGTGTTTATTAATAGAAGTTGAATCCCCAGTGGGTTTTTCTTTGGTGAGCTTGAGAGAAATTACAATACCAAGAGATTGACTGTAAAATAATTATTCACCGTGGCCTGCTGGGCAGAGATTTCTCAACAGGCAGCCTCCTCGGCGCCTCAGAGGGAAGAAGGCAGGAAGCGGGCTGTGGAGTCTGGCTGCAGCCTCTGTGCAGGAGCCTCGGTTATCAGGTGGAGGTAAACCCACAGAGGCCTCCCTGTCGGTGTGGGCAGGGCTACTGCAGCAAAAGCTGGAAGCAGCTTGGGTTCTGATCGTGGATGCATTGTCTCGCCTTTTTCTTGTTTGGCTGTTTTTTTATCCCGTGGGGCAATTCTTTTCTTCCACCAAGATGCTCCTTTGCCGGCTGGCACCATCTGGCAGAGGGAACTCCAGGCTCGACCAGGTTTGAGGGTTCCATTCTGCTGGTGACATGAACTTCTCTACCTTGTTCTGCTGAATACAGTAAACGGACTTAAAGATGAAACGTACTTGAACTACAGATGCATTTGAGAGTGGAGGAGTTCTAGTCCAGATAATAGCCGAGGCTTTTTCTTCCTTTCTTTTTGTGTGGAGGTCGGGAACTCGGTAATACTGCAGTCCTGGCCAAAACAAACTCTATATGATCTACTACTGGTTTCCTTTAAAGTTCCCCTTTTTGCAAGGACTGACTTCCTTTTATTTTACTCCAACTTGCATTAATCCCGGTTAAAGAAGTTTCTTTCCTTTCTCCCTTGCCTCCACTTCAAACATTTCTTACATAGGAAACAAGTGACTTCTTTTTTAAAGATTTACTTAGAAAAATATAAAGGACACCATGAGTTTTGGAAAGTATTTTGACAGCCTGCGATTTCAGAGTTCACTTCCGAGCAGACAGAGTTAGATGGGAGCTGAACTGCCTACGTGACGGCTGTGGTCACTCTGAGCCAAGCCACCTGCTTATCTGATCTCCCCTGGGAATGAGGTGATCGACACCTACAGCGCTTGTTTGATAACTACATGCTTTGTTTGTCAGAGGCCGTATATCCTTTGACCAGTGCTGCCTCTTTCCGTGGGTTTCATGATGAGAGCTGAGTGTTGACCGATTGCCCAAAGAGATCAGATCCTGAGCATGCTGGGGCCCAGTATTTTTAGCTCATGCTCACATTTTGTCCCCTCCTCAGCAGGAGTTATCGTCATTGCTGTCATTGACTTCCAGTTGAATGGTTGTGCCAGCCAAGCCGACTCTCGGAGCCACCGAGGAGCTCCAGACAGCAGAAGGCAGGATGTGTTCAAAACTGTGCTCTGACCCTATCACTGGACTCAGGAAACCTGTTAGGAGCCTGGGGACTTTCTAAAAGTCCTTCTCCCTGGTGGCCCATCCCACCTTCTCTCCCTTTCTGAGGATTCTCAAGTTGAGCTACCAGGACACTAACATCAAGAAGTGGGGCTCCTTGGGGGTCTTAGTACCCCATTCTTAGTCAGCTGAAGAGGGTGTGTTGAGCGTCTCACATCTGGTAACTTTATGAAAACAGAGAGGTCACAGTGCTCCCTTGAGCGTGTTCTCTTTCACCCCAAGACTTGTCTGTACTGTTATTGTATTTATTATTATTATTTTTTTTTCTTTTTGAGGAAGGTTAGCCCTGAGCTAACATCTGCTGCCAATCTTCCTGTTTTTGCTGAGAAAGACTAACATCTGTACCCATCTTCCTCTACTTTATATGTGGGACACCTGCCACAGCATGGCTTGACAGGCACTGTGTAGGTCTGCACCCGGGATCAGAACTGGTGAACCCTGGGCCACTGAAACCCTGGGCCACTGAAACGGAAGGTGTAAACTTAACTGCTGCACCACTGGGCTGGTCCCTTATTATATTATTATTACTGTCACATTTAGATAATGGCAGTGAGAGGATAAGGCTCAGAGGCCTAGTCAGCCAGGGTGTCCCTTAGGGTGGGGTGGGATAGGAGGGGGCATCAGACAAGCCAGCACCAGGCACCCCCCTGAGCCCCGTCTTCTCTGATGAGTGGGCATCATAATTACACCTGCCTCACCAGGTGTGAGTAGTGGGGATGTGTGAAAGTACTGTGCAGAATTTGATCGATTAGAAAAAGTTAAAATACAGGATGCGTGTGATCCTCAAAGAGCCTATATTGGAGCTTGACATCCCTGGAAAGCTAGACGACTGAGATTGATAGCTCCATCTGGCAGGTGAGGGAACCAAGGTGCAGAGACTGGCCCGATCTGCTCAGGTCTGAGGCTCACAGAGTGCTGTCCAGTGGACATGCAGCACATGCTGTGTCTGTGGTTTGAAGTTCGCTAGTAGCCACATTAAAAAAAGAAACCGTGAAAATTAATTTCTAAAATATGCTATTTAACGCAATATGGCCAAAATCTTATTCCAACATGTGGTACCAGCCGTCCTTTGAGCTCAGTACTGCGCATCTGACTGGTGGCCGCCATGCAGGGCGGTACAGTACGGGGTGCTGACTGAGCCCTCCCTCGGAGGATGAGCAGCAGGACACAGACGCTGTGTGGGAGAGAGCTCGTTTTCTAGGGGCTGAGAAATGCCCTTAGAAATACCTTCTCTTTGGGTGCTTCCTCATGGAGACCCTTAGGAGTCTGCAGGCTGCTCTTTGTGAGAAATGCCTGTGTCGTAAAGCGAGGTGCGTGTAAGCCTGCGGCCCTCTTCAAAATCATGGTTTGTGCACTCTTACGCAGGAGTGAAATAATTCCAGAAAGATCCCACATCCCGATGGGGCCGAGGAAAACTGTCAGCTGGGACTGAGTGATCTTAGTTGGTGAACAAGTTTTTAAAAATTAGTGACAGAAATACAGAGCTGTCTGGGGAATACAATACCCATTGGCTGAGATTAATGGCAAGATTAATAAATGGACTGCTTGATGAAAAGGCAGGAGAGAACAAAAACCAGTGGAGATTGTGGAGGAGGCCGCTTATTAATGAACTGTCAGCCCAAAGAAAGTTCAAGAAGCTCTCTTGTGCTAAATGCAGCAGGCTGGCACTTCTAATAAAAATCGGGGTCCTTCAGGAATTAATTACACCAGTCTTACAGCAGGAATCTGTGGAATTGCGAAACGTGGTGGCACAGACCAGCACGGCCGCTGCTGCAAGCGGGGAAGCTGCAGGGGAAACTCATCATTTTTTTCATTGATATGCAGGATATTGTAGTCGCATTGTAGCCAGGCAGACGCGGGGTGAATGATGGGGTCCAGACGTACACTGACTAATGAAGCTGCACATACTTGGAGTTTGAAGTCACTTCACATTTCACATGTAGAAATCCCTCCTGGAATCTGATTTCCCCTTATCCCAGGCACCCACGGCTGAGGAATTCCACATAACTTTCAGAGTGATGATGCGAGAGGCAGATGGACTCCGCCACAACTTAACAAGTGTGCCGAGAGAACCAGCATTCATTTATTCCAAGTTGCTGTCGTTTTCCTCACCCGCCACAAGTTCCCAGTTTGGTTGACCTGACATACCTTCTCTTAATTAAAATTTGGCGTTGCCTCTGCCGGATGAAGCAACCCAAAGGAATGCCGTGGCAAGACAGAGGTTGTCCAGGGTTTTTGATCTGATGTCGAGAATCAGCTATCGGAAGCGTCTTACTTCCACTCCTGCCTGCCAGGACAGTGGAGTGCAAGTTATCTTCTGTGATGTGTTCAGACCAAGGGTTCCCAGACAAACCATCCATTCTTGGGTCTCAGATTTCATAATGAATCCTTTCAGTTCAGGAATAAATTTATTCCTAGGAGAGCTTGGTAATTCAGGACACTTCTGGCTATTGATTATGTGCTAGTTTTCCAGGAATGAGGGAGAAATAAAGGGGCAAGAAGAGCAGTGTGGTTGGTGTACCTCGTGGTGTATTTTCTCCTTTGGGGTGTGAATGGAGGTGACCAGCCGGGATTTTCCCCCACAGAACTTTATGGAACTGAGATTGGGGCTTTTTAAAAATTGTGTTTGACTTGTGCCAGGAGGACAGACTGCGGAGAGAGCATTCCTCCAGTTGCTCAGTCTCCCGTCCTCTTCCTGCTGCTTGTCACGCCTTGAGGATTGGGCTCCATTGCCCCATCACTCTGACTTTTCAGGCCCTCATAATCCATGTGATACTTCTGCTTTTGGTTAAAACAACTTAATGGTCTTTTCAGGAATAATTAACCTGCTGTCTTTTACCTCCAGCTCCACGCCTTTAACTTTCCTGTCAAGTGACTGGCCTGGCGGAGGCTACTCCCTTCAGCCTCTCCCCTCAGAGGTTTAGTTCTCCTTTAGAAACTGCAGGGTTTGCCACACTGAGGGTTTTTAAAGGCTTCTGAGTTCCTCTCAATCCTTCCCGCTGTGTGTGAAGTGAGTAACTGTGCTGGGATCAGTGGGATAAAATGAAAATCACCTCAGACCTGGGCGTTCCGTCATTCTGGAAACTTGGAGGCCACTGTTGTAAGGAGAGGTTAAAACTCCATTGCTCTTTGAAGAAACAATTGCATATTTTTTTGTAGTTGTGTGTTTCTAACTCTGGATGTTTTTCTAACAGTGACAATTTATACCAAATGACCTCCCAGCTCGAGTGCATGACCTGGAATCAGATGAACTTGGGAGCCACATTGAAGGGGTAAGGTCTTCTCTATTCCATCGCCCGTAAACAGTAATGTACACCTGTCTGAACTGCTTTCTAGGTGCTTGTAACTTAGGAAGAGAGTGCAGTTTTAGAAGACTGGGCATGGCTCTCTGTAGAATTAACACACTTTCTTCCCTCCCCAGCTGGTGGGTTGTGTTCAGTGTTAAATTTCCAGGAATATAAATCGAGATGTTTGGTCTGGAACAAGGACTGCTGGAGGGCTCTTCACAGTTGTGTCCATTCAACCACCTCAGTGCTTGTTTTGCTAGTGGTATCACAGACGTGACCCATTACACCGTCTTATCAAGAAGTGCTTTCAGTTTACAACGTCCAGCATCCAAGTTCGTAATGAACAGTAGTGGTTTGGACAGTGCAGTCGCATGTGCTCACACCTGGGTACCCCATGGGTTTTCTTTGCCCCTGATGGATGGCCACAGTTGGGAGCATGCAGCATAGGCAGGGGCAGCTCCTTGCACCTGAAAGTGAGTAAAGGAAAGCAGGTGGGACTTGCTTTCAACAGAACAAAAGCTCACTTTCAGTTTTCCAGTAAGTATGAGTGGAGGGCAGTAGGATCTGACACTCAGAAAGTCCCTGTGCTGTGTCAGGTGCTCTTCTAGGCCATCTCATCGAATCTTCCTAAAGGCATTATGAGGCCTGGTATTGTTGCCCTGTTCTGTCAACCTCAGAGAGTTAAGTAACTTCTCCAGTTCACATCGTATTAAGTGGTGGAGCTGGGATTCCAAGCCTAGATCTGGTTCCAAAGCACAAGCTCTTTCCAGCCTCCCTGTGGTGCCTCCCCCGCTATTAGCCCCATGGGGTCAGGGACTTAGTTCAGCACTCTTGGCTAGACAGCTGGTTTCATGTCTCTGTGTACTTAGTGGCCTCTCACTGGATTCTGGGATCAGGGGGCTTGCTAGCGCCATGCATGCTCCACTCCCCATTCCCCACCTCTCCTTCTCTTCTAGAGTTGCTGCTGGGAGCTCCAGCTCAGTGAAATGGACAGAAGGGCAGAGCAAGTGAGTGGACAGTGCGATGATGGCAAAGCAAATGACGTAGGCCTTTGGACGGGCGCCTGGGTGGTGCGGGAGTTAGAACTGACAGTGGTAATCAGGGTCGCAGCTGGCGAAGGGGCGGGAGGAGCGAGTCAGTCCCTTTCTCTTTGCCTCTCATTTGTCCCAGATGCCCTGTGGGCAGAGAGGAGGTGGGGACGTTTCTCGTCAGCATACACCTGGGAGACGGTTTTGAAAAGGATGCAGTAGGAACCCTCTCAGATGTTTCACGGAGTAGATGTTTCACATAGCAGATTTGTGGTTTTACACGTAATCCTTTTAGATCAGTCAGATATTTTGGACATACTTAACTTGCTTTTTCTCTATTTACCTTTAAATCTCTCAGGGAGAACTTAATTCTTAGCCCAAGTCCAGGGCCAGACTTGTTTTCATTCCCAAACTTCTGTGCCTCCAGCCCGGAGTCTGCACTCGGGGTGTAAACTCCAGCCTCCCTCTCTCACCCTCTGTCTGTCGTCGGTCAGTCCTGGCTTCTGGGTGATCATCCTTCAGTGATCAGTAGAGTCACCATCAGAGCCCCCTCTCCCCCCCACCCCCCAACTTCTCTGCTACTGTATCCGCATCCCCACCTCTTCTCTCTAGACCTGGAAGTAAAAGGCCTCCTGTTGATTTGAATTTTTTCTCTCCCCTCTTCCATCCAAGGGGCTGTGACCATTTCAGTGTTGTCTTCTGCCCACCTCCACTTGTCTTCTGTTTCTTGGCTTCTGGGTCCCACCCTATCTCTCTGTCTCTCCTCCTTCTCTCCTGTCTCCTGTACTCAGAATTCAGTAGCTCTCCCCAAACCAAATGCCAAGAATGGACAGAACTTGATTGTGAACTAAGCCGCAAGCTTCACTTTTACAGTTTCTTCATGCTGGAATACAGCGTTGGCTTGTTTGCTTACTTACAGAAATTATAGATAAGCAGTCTTGGCACATGTTTGAATCTGGGTCTTTCCATAGTTGAGATAAGTTTGATACCTTTTAAGGTCTTTAAACATGTGGGATTAGTCACTTGCTGGGGAATCAGAAGCTGTATTGTAAGGATGAAGCACAAAGTGTGAATCATTTGTTTTTTTCAATCCTGTATAAGAAAAAAACTAGAAGAGTTTTTACTGGTCTGGTGCTTTCATTTTGGAAAAGAATTCCTGAAGTCAAATGTATTTCTTCAATACTTTATTCAGAGAGCTGTATAAAAAGGATCAAATGGCCCCAACAGGTAGTCTTACAGAGGAGCAGCTCTTTGGAGAGTAAAAACTTCCTCTTGTGTAACTTGCTGACATCTCCCCTCACGTTGTGGAGTTTTTCTTCTGGCAGGCGTTGTGAGTCAGCTAATGTCTGCTTCCATTTGTGAATTGAACGTTCGTCTGAGGGTGGAGGTTAGCATTACTGGGCCCTGTGTTGGGGGCTTTATATACGCTTCCTCTTGATTTCACAATAGTCCTGGGATACTGTGGTCACCTTTGTCGTCCAGGTGAGGAGGCCAGAGAGCTCACACCACTAACGAAGTTCATACAGCGATTAAGTGGCAGGGCCATGCTGGAACCCACTTCTGTCTGACTCCAGGATCTGGGCTCCAGATTAGAGGTTCTTAAACTTTTTAGACTGTGACCATAATTAGAAATACCTTTGACACTGAGATCCAATATACACACATGCGTGCACAGGCACACCCCACAAATTTTCACAAACAGTACTTACCCTTACTACGTGCTGTGCATGTTCATGCTTTCTGTTTTATTCCATAATTTTTAAAGTGCTGGTTGTTTATATGTAGATTGATTTTACAGCCCACTGATGTGTCATGACCCAAGGTTCGCCTCTCTTTCAGCTCTTAAGAATAGCGACTCCTTAGATCCTCCTCCAAGGCCGTGAACAGCCTCGAGTTGGGTTCAGTCGGATCTGATATTCCAGTAGAAAGTTTGCCTTTTCCCCAGGGGGACATAATCTGGGGAAAATAATCATTATTCTCTATTATACTGAGTTTACTTTCTTTTGCCATGTTATAAAAACACTGTTAATATGGACAATACATTTGAGAAAAGATATTTGATGAAGAAAGATGAAGAGAAATAGCCATCTTTTGCTTTAATCCACAACTAGTGTGTTGACATTATTTGAAATCAGTGGTAAGAACAATCATGGCGACAGAGTAGATCTATAACAGGAAAACTGAGGTTTGACTCATGTTTTGGAGGAAAAAAGATATAGTTCCCATGCCACACCTAAAACTGAGGCATTATCAATTTTTTATGAAAAGATCATATACCTTGGAATAACCCCCACTAAATATTTGTTCATGTCTTCTTTCCTTGAAAGTGTTTCTTTTACAAAAAGAATAGGCATGTTTCCTTGGGTCCTAAGCAGGTCCACCGAAACATCTCTCACTGGACGTGAGGGAGCAGCAGTGGGTGGGGACGGGGTTCTGGGGAGAACGTGGACCAGATGAGATGAGAAGATGACACAATGAGGAGGAGGGGCACTCTGATTTCTCTTGTCTCCTTCCACCTCCACTCATTTTCTCATCTCTGTGTGCCCATTGGGATCAGAACTACTTTCATGACCTCAAACGGGAGAATATCCTATTTCGATTTAAGTCAGAAAGAAGGTACTTTATGGAACCACTTTCTTAACTCTGACTTTTTTCCTCACCCACACACAAATGAAATTAGATTTTTTTAAGTGGGTCACAGGAAAAAAAGATTGCCAGAACTCTTTGTAAGCATTAGTCCACCTTTATGTATAATTCTGTTAACGGTGCCTTGCGTTGTCTGTTTTTTATTTCTTTAAAAACGTTTTCTCTGCATTCTTAATGGCTGCTGATTTTCTAAGGCTGCTCACAAACCTTGGCGACTCTGTTAGCCTCTGTTTTGTCTCTTCTGAAGAAAATATCCTGCAAAATGGAGAAACACATCAACCTTGACTGTGGTCCAAGTTACTAAAACAAGGAAGAAGCTATTCTCTGGAGACTCGGGCAGGGGAGTGGGAAATGGAACACAATAGAAATGCAAAGGAGTGCTCAGCAAAATGAATGTCCCTTTGCTGGTCCAAGAAGTCTACAGACTGTTGGGAACACACAGTGTTTGACCTGTGGATGCTTGAAAGGAAAAATGAAAGACTCACGATGAGTGATGTATAGTGAAAACAAAGCTGCGAGTTTTGGTAGGGCCAAGGCTGTCGAATCTGGAGAAAATTCCCACTAGACATGGTCTCATCCCTGAGAGCCTGTGCCAAGAGAGATAGCGGTCCTCTCTGGCCGGAAGATCCAACACACAGCCCGGCACCTTCCCTCTCCAGCTCGTGAGCATAAGGTCCTTGTCCAAGAGATTTACTTCTTGAAAATAGATAGCTTGCTTGTAAGTGGCTCCTGGAGCTTGAGATGCTGAAGCAAAGGTGGGGAAGCAGCTCCTGGAACATCAGCTTTCCTGAGTGACTCCTTCTCCACACCCTGCAAAAAGTTGTTAATTTCTCCTTTCAAATGGTGACCTTGATGCCTTGGGAGCCCCTTTGTCTTGCACCCGACTCCACGAGGGTCTGGTGGCCTTGCTGCACAACAAAGCATGGGACTCCTGGGCTGTGTTGCCTGTGCCTCCAAGAGTGGATGAGTTGGGGCTGCTCCTTCCCTCCTGCCCGACCCGTCCACATTTCCCACCCTTTCTCTCTGAGCACGTATTCAGTTAATGTATGTGATTTTTTTATTATGTCAGGAATGTGTATGAATTATGGAGCACTTAGAAAATATGACTGTGTCAGGAAGGAAATTAACACCCTCAGAGCCCTGAACAGTGCGCACACTTCCAGACCTTTCTCTGTGTCCATGCACATTTGTGTCACTTTCTGCCTTATGACAAACCATCGGTTTCCACGTAGATCTATGTCAGCAAATACATATCTGTAGCTGTAGCAAAGGTCTGTGTTTTGACCTTTATGAGAGCCTTGACTTTTGGAAAATATTCTCAACATCTTAAAAAATCTTCACTTAAAAAATATGTCAGGCATATCATTTCCACACTATGTTTCTAACTATTTTATTTTAAAGCAAGGAATGGTCTTCATTGCATAAAGGTGAGGAGAAGACAGGTTTGTTTAGATCAGGAGAAGAAAGAAGCCAAGCAGGAAGGATAGTGGAGGGAAGATGGTGGTGAAGGGGCCAAGCTGAAAATGAGCATGGGGGTGAAGTGGGGCGGGGGGCTCCAGTCTGTTGATGAAGGGGTGTGTGCACGTGCATGCCTGCATCTTGAGGGGAAAGGGCATAGCAGAGGAGTGGAGGATGTCTTTCATGACCTAAGGGAATATTTTGGACCTCTCATGTCTATGCTCCCATCTTGGGCCCTTCTGAGACCCCTACTTATCAATTATCTTTCTCCCTGTCATCTACCCAAGAGAAAATCACAACCTCTAGCTAGGAAAACATTGATATTGAAGCTACACTAGTAAAAGGTCATCCTAATAAATGTGTCTCTGAAATGAGGGCTCCTGCATATTTTAGTAGGCTTTTTTCCTACTAAAAGTAAACAAGTTCATTTATTCTAGCTTTATTTCTGACTCTCCACTTTAAAAGCAAAGCCACAGATGTAGTGTTCCTAAGGCTAAGATGGGGACTTTATAAAAAATGAAAACAACTTTTTTCCCCCTTGATTATAAAAGTAGCACAGGCTTATTATTAAAAAAAAATGCAGACAGTACCAAAACATTAGAGAGGAGGAAAAAAGTCATCTGTTATCTCCTCGCCCAGAGATAACTATTTTTTAAACATATTCCAGTGTATTTGTATCTGCAGAGAAAAAATTTTGGAAACACTTATTGAACTGTTAGCTGTAGTTGCCTCTGGAAAGATTGGAAGGAAAGGCAAAAGTCCCATAGAGCCGCGTTTAAGAATCAGGGGAGCAGAGAGCCTGGAGACCTCGTGTGAAGACAGCACTTCATGGAACTTTCCTGCGAAAGAGCAAAGAAACGGGATTCTGGTTCAGT